GAAACACGTGCAATCTAAGCATCTTTGGTGCAAACATACCGCGCTGCTGCAGATTGCAGAGCTGACACCGGGTGACTGGGTGGAGTTCGAGGCGGACATGTCGCACTAGCTAGATTTCTTAGGTGTCGTCAGTGTTTCTCCAGTTCGAGCAGATGCGCCGTGTGTAGACTCTCAGCTCCTGGAATGCCTGGTTTTCTCCTCGGAGGCCACCATGACATTACATGGATACCGAGGGGATCCTGAGGTGCGCGACTGCCGCATGATCATGACTGGTACCGTGGGACCAGATGTCTGTTTTGTCGTCTGAAAGAGCTCGGAAGTACTGACTGCGCACAGCCCTGTGTCTTCTGAAGACAGGCATACTGTAGAAAAGCAACTTGCCCTTTGTCGAAAAAGACCTCGGTGTCTTGTGAGGCGACTGATTTGGGTTAACAACCAAGCGAACGACCGTGCACGGTAGAAATACTGGAGTCGCATTCCTTCGCTTCGCCTGGTCACCGAAACCCAAAATCCTGAGCCAACGCAGAAATCAAGATCTCGATCTCGTGGCTCCCCTAAACCCTAAACCCCAGCCCTAAAGCCCAAACCCTAAACCCTAACCGCCCTAACCCCAAGCTCGAAGTACAAATTTCTGCCAGCTGATGACGCTCTGGCACATCAAGCGCGTTGAGCCGCCGACGCCGCTCTCGAGCTCAGCTGGACGAGGCCTAGAGCTAAGGCAAGTTTTACACCTACTCTAAAAGAGCATATATACCCTATACTTATATTAACTATAGTAGACCTTATATTATATATATATATTATAAGATAGTAGAAGAAGATATACTAGACCTTAGAGTATTAGATAGTAGAATAAGATACCAGGATGAAGATAGAAGATAGAAGATATGTAGGGAAGGTAGAGTGGCACCGACAGGGTTTCGCTCGCCCATGACTTCTGTCAGGAGCGCCTCCACCGGGCAGACCTGAGCTGAAGATGGGGGAGGCCAAGGTACATATTCTATGATATGTACCCATAGGCCACGGTATATATTCCATGATTAGGACCGTTATAGGATAGTATAGGAGATTACAGGACCGTAGATAATATACATATATATATATATTCTATGATATGTACCCATAGGCTCCTAAGTAGTTCCTTTTTGTGGTGTATATTTAGAATCCTATAGGGTAATCCCAAAAAGGAACTACTTAGGAGCCTATGGGTATTATTAAGACTGTCACGAGAAAGCAGCGGTGGCCGCTTCGCTTTGCAGGGAAAGAGACCAGCAGAAGCGGAAGCGATCCCGGCTGGCTCCCAAGGGGAAATGCTTCCGCGGTTTTCTTGGCGATACGGTTGATGATATAAATCCTGCATTACCCAGAATAAGGAATATACCATAGTTCGCATAGTTTAGGGTCCTTAAGCTAATGCAGCATGCTTATCATCAACAGTAGGTGCAGCATGCTCAGAGTCTCTCTAGACGCACTCTGCGTGCATTGGACGCGAAGTGGCTCCCCATCGACATGCCGACGGGACTTCCGAGTCCGCACTTTTCTGGTCACTGCTTTGCGAGGTCGAGCCAGAGGTCAAGAAGCCTGAGCCAGAGGTGAAAGGCTCCCAGCCACAAGAGAGCCCTCAGCAGGCGGAATGCGTGAGATGGAAAATTTGCCCTGAGCCTTCCCACAACATGCCATTTCAGGTGGCCGAAGCCGATCCCCAGAAGGAGACCGAAAAGGAGACGCAAGTGCGCCGGCCATTGCTTTCTGCCCCATGTGCTAAATGACTAAAATGACATGGAGACCCTAAATCCTACGCAAATCCTAACAGTCCTTCAAGCGCGAAGAGACACCTAAAACTGTAAAACATCCTGAACCCCCCTTCGAGGCACTTAAAACCTCTCAAAATCCCAAACCCCCAGAAGGCCCTCAAAACCGAAAGATGGGTTTGTCGCACATTGGGCTGCCCTCACTTATAACCGTATAGTAACCTTTATGGTGACCTTCTTAATAACCCTCATAGCAACCTTTATAGTAACCTTTGCAATACTCTAAGATAACCCTTATCGAAAATAACCCTTATTATACTAACCCTTGTTATATCCCTTAAAATTTCCATTGCAGTATCCTTATGGTAACCCTTATGGTAAGCCTTACAGCCACTCTTACGGTAGCCCATATAGTAACCTTTGCAATACCCTTTCTAATCACCCTTACATTAACCTTTATAATAACCCCTATATCTTATATCCCTTAAATTATCCTTTAAAGTATCCTTGTAGCAACCCTTATAGCCACCGTTATCGCCACTCATAGAGTCGCCAGGCCCCGCAGGGCGAAGCAGCACCGGAGCAGCCGGCCGCCTCAGCCTCTGCATCGGCCTCGGAGAGCTTTCGCCACCATGACTAGACTACACAACTGTATGTATGTATGTATGTATGTATGTATGTATGTATCATATATATATATATATAATTATATATTTATTTATATATATATATATTTATTTATTTATTTATACACACGCATACACACATATCTGTCTATCTATCTATCTTTATATATATATATATATGCATACATATATATACATATGGTTACGCCCCGGCGGCCCCCCTCCCTCCCCCCGCAATGGTACAGTACCGCACCCATTTGGTCATCCCCCCTCCCCGCCCTGTGGAACAGCTTGGGCCTTGAGCTTGCTTGTGGAATGGGTAGGTGGTTTGGTTTAGGCCTTCTTTCAATGGTTGTACCTGTGATCATCCCCCCTCCCCCCCGTGGAACGTTTTGGTCGTGAGCTTCGGAGTTTAGTCACCCTCCCCTCCCCGTCTCTCTCTGAAACAGGGGCCCTCCGCACAGGCGCCCAACGCTCCAGACCCGTACATTTGGGGGGTTGCCATGGGGGGGGGAGGAAGGGGGGTGGGGGCGCAGAAGGCACAGTTCACGACCATATGTACATACATACATACAGACAGACAGACAGACAGACAGATAGACAGACAGACAGACAGACATACATACATATACACATACATACATACATACATACATACATACATACATATATATATATATGTTCTTGTATTGTTACGGTATTATGGCATAGACATAGAATGTTACCTTATTTTTCTTGTATTCTTGTGTTTCAGCTTAGATGAGAACACATTGAAAGCTGTTGTCACTACTTTGTCTTGCACACTAGGTTAGAAAAGATTATCGTGCAGTACAGTACAGCACGGTTTTGTACTCGTATAGTATAGTCAAGTATGTCATGGTATAGATGGTATGGCATAGGATAGTATAGCATGGTTTAGTGTATTGACGTTGTGTTATATCACATCATGATGTAACACAGTATGTAACACTACGTCGCATGAGAGTTGTATTGTCTTATACGATTGTGTGGTACATTATATGGTAGCGCAGTATATCGTATCTATGTGCTGTTAGAGTATATCATAAAGCATATTAGACCGCGTTACTGTATATTCTTCTACAATTCTAGATTGTGTTGTGTCGGATTCGCCGTGTGTTTCCTGTGATGCCACAGGCCCAGCCGGAGACGCTGCAGGGCAGTGAATGAAGTGACCGCCTTGAGCGCCTTCTTTTGGAAAGTGGGGTCCAACTCATGCTAAGCTTGAATATTCTTGTCTCCCTACAAGCTGACCATCAGCGCTTTGTGAATATCATGCTGGTACCGATTCGTGCAGTTAACCAAGTCATTCAACAGATCATTGGCTGCCTGCCCGCCTGCCCGAAATGGGCAGTGCGCAGGATCTGCCTGGTGCTTATGGCACAACTCTTGCTTCAGCACAGCTAGTTGCATCAACCCAAAGGGATGCTCAGCTTTGATGCGAAGACCGGATCACGGGGCAAGACCAGGGCTGCTGCCACGCCGTGAGAAGAACCTGGATCTCGCACAACTCTCGCGCAGAACCGCTGTGATATCATTAAAGCTGCATGACGGAAGGCCCAAATCCAGCCATTCTGTAATGTCTACTACCGGAAATGCTGCATGAATTTCGATCCTTTACAGTGTTATCACGTGTGCTCTTCCCAAGTCCGTTTAGCATTCGGGGCACGTCTCCGAAGGCGCATCTCTAGTTGGTTTGCAAAAATGGCCCGTCGCTGGATGGCCAAGAAGACACCCTCTCCGTCGACCGCTCCGCTGCAAGCGACAGTACCGTCAGAGCCGCTATGATGGCAGGGAGTCAATGGGCAACCCTAAACCCTAAACCCGGTGTGTCTTCTGCTGTGCAGATTCTCGAGCTAGACACTAGCAGACGGAAAAAGGCCCTCAACAAAAAAAAACCTGAACCCTAGATCGGGAGGAGTGTGAGCGCACCCTCCAGGCCCTAAACCCCTAAACCGTTTGGCCTAAGCGCCCAAAAGGCCCAAAACCCGAAGGCCCTACAATCTCTACCTAAATCCCAAAAAAAAACCCTCAACCCCAAAAGAGGCTAGTGCAAACCCTAAACCCTAAACCCTAAAACCTAAACTGACCTAAACCCTTAAGAGAAACCCTAAAGGGCTCTAAACTACCACTCCGAGGCGCAGCTCGGAGCTCCCCGGCCCTTCCATTGCCGTGGTGGGATCAGGTGCCTGCCTTGAGGAACAGAGGGCCTAGGGCTTCTAGGGTTTAGGGCTTAGGGCTTCGTAGGGTTTTTCGGGTTTAGGGCTTTAGGGTTGAGGGTTTAGGGCTTCGGATTGAGGGATTAGGGTCTTTCGGATCTTGGGGGCCCTCCTTGTATGAGGGCTTCTGTGCTTTCTCCAAGTTCACGAGGTGTGTGATGACTACTCGGAACGCAAGATTGGCCAAGGTTTGCCCACGACTGCAATCCATTTGTTTGTGTGTCTGCCTGAGTCTTTTCTCCGGGCTTGCAATTTTCAGAATTTCAGCTGTCAAACATACTCACGCGTGTTCGGATATGCAACAGAGGCGGACGGTCGAAAGCTTCCTTGCATGCCTGTGCGTGCCAGGAGTGGCAGCCTTGGTGTGCGCACGACGACTCGCAAGAATGGCAAGAGACACTCAAAGCAGCCTTCACGGAGCGCGACTAACTCTTTGCACCAGCCGGGGTAAGCTGGCAACGCAGATGGGTCCAAAGAACATGACTCTTCCCCAGCCAGGGAAGCCCTTCTTCGACTACGGCTGCCAATATATCTCTGTGAGCAGCGACTGGTTTGTCGAAGAACTGGAGCTCTGGAAGAAGCTGGGCTTCTGCCAAGTGTTGCTGGGCTCTTGTTAAGGGATTTAATTTAAGTTACCATAATAGGGATCTATAGTAAATAATATGGTTTCCTTATTATAGTAACTTAAATCAAATCCTTTAACAAGAACCCAGGTTGCCCCCGAGCCAGGTTGGCACCATATCGGGATCGCAAGGCTTCCAAGGACTTCCGGGCGACTGCTGGGTCGGTAACGGAGGCATGGCCCCTATGCTCCGGAACATACACCGGCAGACAGCTCAAGAGTTTGAAGACGTGTTGGAGCAAGTCAGTGGGTTTCCGAACGATGCTTACAAGGTGGTGGGCCTTCGCAAGGACACAAGCGGCCAGTGGGAGCTGCAGATGCAGGGTGGCGGAACTTTAGGACCCTTCACCTATGTGGTCGGGGGCTTTGCGCAGCACATCTTGACAGATCCATTCCTCTTGAGTGGGGGAGCAGCATGCTCGGCAATGTTGGAATGTCTCCGCAGAGTGGAATCCAACCAGTTGATCGTTATGCAAGTCAGCTTTGAGGGCGAGCCTCTGCCAATTCCCTTTACGGCTGCACATGTCTGCGATGATGAGGCTCTCAGCTTCATCGGCAATAACAGCCAGAAGCCTCAGCAGAATGGAGAATGGGGAACTCCGGGCCCGCAGCAGCTCACACTTCTTAGCACCGCTGAGTTTGCAGAGCGTGAGTTCAATTGCAATCCCAAGGGCTACCGCCGAAAGGCAGAGGAGAAGCTCCTTGCAGCCTTAGGCCGTCTCCTGAAGCTGGACGTCTTAAAGTACAAGCCCCAAATCAACCGGATAAACCATTGGGAGGACGGCCTCCCAACCAACACTCCACCGGCTTCCAGAGGCTGCCTCTTTGATGCGAAAGAGGGTCTCGGCTGGTGCGGTGACTTCTGTGTCGCTCCGGGCGTGGAAGGGGCCGCGCGATCTGGTGCTGCCATGGCTGACGTTCTGGACTCTTGTCTGAGACAAGTTGCCTATTTGTCGAATTTCGAGTTTAATCACAGTCTTCTTGTTCCATGACATTCAGAGGCATCCTTCCACGGACAGAAGGACTTTTGCGGAGATGGCTTATTGCCCATGGATGTGGACTGGGTGTCCATCAGCAGCGTTTCAGGGTTCGGCATCGTGGATATTGGTGCATTCCCTGGAGTTCCATCTCGCTGCACACACACCGACCATGTGCCCTCCGCGATTGGAGGCTATGACAAGGCAGGGGTCAATTTGTAGCGGGGTAGAACAGTGCAGGGAATGCTTGCTGGTTTCTGTCTCTAGATACCGACAATCGGCAGGCCAAGGCACATTTTGGTCACGTGGGCGCTGCAAAAGGATACAACGGCAAGGGCAAGGACTACCAAAGCAAAGGCGGCAAAGGAAAAGGTAAAGGCGGGTGGGCACAGCGCGGCCAGTCGCATCAGGTTGTGAGCAGCTATGTGTAACAACGAGTATGCACGACAACAGACCATCCGAGTCCAGTCCCGGTTGATTTTGGAAGGCGGCAAGGGCAAAGGAAGCCTTTGGAAAGGAAAGTGAGGCCCCCATGACATGGAAGCGACAGCGTTTTAGAGCTTACTCCTTCAGTTTGAATGGCAAGCTGCTCTTTGTACAGGAGTTGCAGGCTACAATCTTTCCGCGCCGGTATTGTATAGGAAGGTGTTCCGATGCTCAGGATGGCTGACTGGGTTTAGGGAGATGCTTGAAAGTGCATTTGTAGCATGATCTCAGGAATAAACTTCGCCGAAGTCTCCAGAGGCTACACCCCGAAGCCTTGAGCCCTAAACCCTAAATGCTTGTGAAGCGGATCCGGAGCTTCGAACCGATTTTCTGCCCCGAAGCGCCATTTAGTACAGCAAGTAGCCATTTCTTGCATTCTTCTGGATGTTGCTTCCATCCAGTCCAAAGTGGTGCAAGTAAAACTTCGCCCATGCCACAGTTGTGGCTTATTTCGGCATGCAATCTGGGCCACTGATCGGAAATTCAAGAGAATCGAAAAAAAGATGCCACCGGTAAATATAAGGCTTGTAGAAATCATATTCTTAGAGAAACAATTGGTGCTGTTGCTTGAGGGGCCACTACTAAAGGATACGATAATATTATATTTTTCATAGGTTGAGATCATAAAGCTCTTTGTTTTATTCGATTGTCGATCTTATAAAATCAAACGAAATTTATATCACTTGATTTCGATATTATATGAATAGTCGGGTTATAATTATATTTTTGATCGACATATGAACAAATAAACAAGTGTGTGTATATATATACATATACATATATATATATACATATTCTGTTTATATTGAACATGTATTTTCGAGATTTGATCTCTATTTATACCCCCAATAAAATTACGGGCTCGGCTGCATTTTGCTTGTGCAGCCACCTTGTTGGGTGTCCTGCTTTCTTTTGGCGGCCTTGTGGCCTTGCATGCACACAAGAGTGGGGATTCCAGAAAATCTCCAGGATTTGTGCCCTTCTGCATCTAAAATTACCGGATTTTTACGAATCCCTCTGTCTGTGTGTCTGTGTGTCTGTCTGTGTGTCTGTCTGTCTGTCTGCCTGGCTGTCTGTCTGTCTGTCTGTCTGTCTGTCTGGCTGTCTGTTGCTCGAAATGCAAGGGCAGAGTGATGTGACAAACACCTGGCAGCATCCACTTCATGCCGCTACATACCACAGCTTGCATAAACATGTACACTCGTGATGAGAGATAGCGCCATGCTCGATCGTAGCACAGGCTAACGTGCGACATGTGGTGCTATGTGCGTTGCAACATAGCAGTCAAAGTTCGCGATTCGAGTGCCGAGGACTCCGCTGGTGGCGGCTCAGCCGGGACCTTGTCAGGTTAAGTGTGTGCGATACTGTATTTGCCAAAGGGCCTCACATAGTAGCTCCGGAGTCCGAGGAGGTTCTGGTTCGTGTGGGGTGATGACTCAAGGCTTATGCGCGAAATCGACAGGGCGTTCTGCCGAACACTTTCCGGAGACAGGCTATTGTCGGTTGGAGGGAAGTTCGGGCAGATGAGCTGCTGAAGCCTTCAAGCTTGTAGCGAGATGCTTTTTGGAAAACCGGGGTAGCCCCACGCACTGATCTTGTTTCTAGTCTTTCTACTGGTAGGCGACCGAAGATCGAAGGTCAACGTAGTGCATCACTACAGAAACCTCCTCGTTCAAGGCAGGATCCTCCGCTTTTTTAGGGTCTGCTCAAGGCTTGAAACTTAAAGCCCTCTCCTTTGGAGCAAGTCCTGGGAGTCCAAATCTCGAATCTGAAACTTCAAAGACCTATGGGCAGTGAGCCAAAAGCGTATCGGAGCAGAGGTCCAGCCGCCAGATCCCATGATGGACGGGAGCAGGTGCTGTTCCTGCCTCTGCAGATGAGACCATGTCGGGGGTAAAGTGACGCTCCCACCACCGTCGCCTGAAATCCTTTGCCCGACACGAACAGAAATCCGCCTTATGCGGAGTGTATGACCATCCTTTCAGGCCGAAGCTCTACACTGGACCCTGCAGATTGCAAGCCCTTTTCCCAGCCTTGTTGCCAGGGAGGTGCTGGGAGACTTGGGACCGGACGAAGGAAGCGCCGGGGTCCCGAAATGCGAAGGCCAGGCGTCAGCTCAGGCGGTCTTTGCAATGTTTTTTCCCGAAAGCTTTGCGGAGGGTTTTTCCGTGCGGAGCCCTCGAGAAATACATGGGATAACTTACATAGATCAGTTATACATCGAGACTTATACATCGAGACTTTCTTAACTTAACTTAACTTAACTTAACTTAGCTTACGTTGAGTTAAGTTAAGT